AAGGCACATGCACCGGATAGGAGTACAGGTAGAAAAAACACTGTGGAGATACTGCCTGTAAGGCAAGGAGGCCGAGGTCTTTGAAGGCAATGTTATTTACTTGATTACCAAACTGAAGCTCCAGTGAGTTATAAAAAAAATAGAGGGGACGATAGATCTACTCAGGTCAAAGTAGAGAAGGCCTTATCGTATATATATATGTATATATATATATATATATATATATATATTTGTTTGTCGTATACAAAATCGAAGAATAAACTTATTTATGTACAAAAATTAAATAAGTTCCCTTTTCTTGAGTGGAAGCTACAGTATATAACTTTAGCTAAACTCAAATAATTTATCTCAAGAAATCGTGATTACTTCTAATTGACTTAATGTTGACCTCTTTTAAATCAGAAAGTCCTAATTTTCGATTAAGATTCTGGAAAGGAAATCATGTAACTAAAACAAAACTACCAGAACTACATTTCCCGAGGACTTGTGACAGAAACCAAGTACCAATGCCAACTAATTCGTAGAAAGTGCACATTTTCTATTTAACAAAATACTAGATGTCAACCTTTTATAAAATCCAATAAAAATTATTTTATTGCCGTATGTACACAAAAATACTCGGCCCTTTTTAATTTTGTTCTTGTTCTTCACTCGGTGATTTGAGTACCACTACTTTCTTCCTTCTGATTTCCGGGGGCGGCGGATCCAACGGTCTGTAAGGAGATACCTTCGGCTTTGGAATGGGTCTTCTAAAATTTCTCTTCATTTTGGACACCCTTGCGTCCAGAGCGTCGTACTCTCTCTTTGCTCGTTCCATTCTTCGCCTGAGGTTTTTCATACGCTTTTGAAGTTCTAATTCTGTAAAAAGGTAAATTTAACGAGTGAAACGGGAGCACATCCCTACATTTACCTTCTTGTTCTTTTTTTAGCCTCTCTTTCAGTTCTTCTGGCGTTTCATTGGTCTCTGGGTCTCCTAAAATATGAAATTTGCTTACTTTACTGTTTTTCCACTTACTACGATTGTGTAAATTACCAGAATGTATATTTGTTGCTGAGGCCATTGCTTATAAAATTATAAAACAAAAGGTTTTCTTTGAAATATCTTCGTTTTTAAACGGATTTACTTTTTGCATGAGTAATTAAAATTTTAAAAATCAGGTGATGTTTTCATTTTACAAGCCTACAAAATATTTGTTTTTCGAATGTAGCACTGATCAAGCGATGATTTTTAAATATCGTCCAAAACAATAAGCAAAGGAAATTTATATTCCGCATCACAGCCAAAACCCCTTAGGGCGACTTAAATCTTAACAATGACCCTGTAAGAGACCTTCTAGTGGGAAAGGAGTGTAAAGTCTAGTTAGGAGACGCTCTAACAACGCCCGGGTAATATCTCAAATAATAATTCAAAGGATACGACACCGTTTTTCATACTTTGGGCCGGGGAGCAGGCTCGGCCCCGTGAGGGAGGATTATAGGTAAACATATTGCCAGATGTGAATACGGGCTAAGTCTTCCTTGGTGCTTTTCAGAGCGTTTTTATGGCCTCCCGGAACAACGAGGACACTCCACTCACGCCCCCGGCCCCGCTTGGGGTAAGTACATAATATCTATTCATGACTTTTTCGGGGAAAATTAGGGACTTTGCCAAGGAAGACGTTGAGAAAAAATGGATAGTGAAATGTACTGGCAAGCAGGAGTGAAAAAAAGTATGTTGGGGATCATTTACATGTCAAAACACAACAAAAGTAATACATATTCTGTAATATGAGGTTCCATGATAATATGCTGTAAAGAATTTTTAATATATACACATACATATATAGCTAGTGATTATTAGTTCCTCTCTTCTGCTGCTCTTGCATAAAGTTGACCATTCTTTGATTTATTCATTAACTTTAGAACGTACTGCTGACAGTATCCTACGCGTGCTGTAATTTTCCCTGCATATTATTATTTAGCACTTTTAAAATCTTGGGAGAGTGTTTCCTTTATTGAGGTGCCATATATGAACTGTTTTGCCATAAATGACAAGTTAGCATGTTGGTTGGTATTGGAGTTGAGAACTGATCGACTGTGATCTGGGTCCGTCTACCTAGGCTACTTAGTGAAGTGATCAGTGTTAATCAGGACAACAATTACAATTCATTGTTAAACATGCACAACAAGACTTTAAAACAAACTTAATTTGGACTAGAGAGTACAATAGCCGGGTTAAAAACGGACTGAGTGATGCGCCAACCAATAGTGTAGAAGTAAGGCATATATTAAAAAATGTGATGGAATTGATAGGAACTTGAAGATTGATGATGAAGACCTTGGAGTTGGCACCTGGATCATTTGATTTTGTTCTAAGGTGATATTTAGAAATGTTTCATAACGTTGATAAATAGTAGTAATAATAAACAAATACTAAATAAATTTCTGAAAAATAATGGTAATAACTACCTTATAATTAATTCTTAAGAAATAATAGCATATATCTACAAGACAAAGCAAATCAAAAGCTTAACTTATTCTGTAAATGTCTTTAAAGTTTGTAGGCGTAAATTGAAACACCCTAAGATTGTATATACAGATTAAATTATAATAAAAATATTTGTCGTTTCCGATCATTTTAGTCTGCCTTTTCTAGATTGTTTGACAACCCGTTCGGATTTTCATCATCATCATCACAGCTGGAAAAAGCGGTTATTTTAAACCACTTACGAATATTTTAGAACAACAAAAGCATGGCAAATGGAAGGCTTTTTAATTAAAAACACTTCACTTCTATATAAATTCCCTATATTTTTCCTCTCGTCATTTCCCGACGGCCAATTCTTTTTATTTATTATTATTGCCAAATGCATTTTGTAGTAAGGCTTCGAATCCCATTACAAAATATTACAATTGGTGATTTTGCAGTTCAGTAATCTGTAGTTGTGCAAAGTAATGTAGTTAGTTGCACACATGGTGCATTAGAACTTTACTAGAATTGATGGGAGGTGGCAAAAAAGCAAAAGGGTTTACAAAACGAGGTTACAGACTTGTCTCCCTTGTTGGCCCGTAATGCTTTTAAATTCCAGCCCCATGAGCTTCTTATGGGCGGAATAAGGCTCAATTTTCCGCTGCACGATCCGTTCCTGTTTTAATATGCAAATCCCGAAAAAAGGGGGAAGGGAAACGGAGGCGGATCTCCGAAGATTGCTCATAGATAAGATGGGATGCCCATTGATTGAATCCATTTAGGAGAGAAGAGGAGACGTCTGAGAGGTGAAGAGGGTAAGAGGAAAAGGAAAGGAACCAAAGGAATTGAAAGATGCCGGAGATAGGAAGACATCAATCCATCCGGATCACTAGGGAGCCGGGCATTCGACAGTGCTATTTCCCAAAACGATACTATCAACTGACTGATTTAATGTCGAATAGAGATTAATATTTGAATATTTTTAACAAATGTTCAACAGGTAATTGCTATGATAACTTTTTATTTTACAATTTCTTAAACTTGGTACTAATATTTAGACAATTTTCCGAATTGTGAATAAAATATAAATTGTTTTAGAGTAAAAATCGTTGAAAAGAAAAGGTCAATTTAATTAGATACGATGAACTTGCAAAAGTATGTAATGACAAACTTACAAACCCGAAGTGCAACAAGCAAGTTCTTGCTCGACATAAACCAATAAGCAAACATAAAACATATTAACTGTAATATGCAGATGACTGCACAATTTATTGGACAAAATGGACATGATTTATCTGAATAATAATCCGTAGTGTGCATTGGCTGCCAGCAATACCTGTTTTTGTGTATTTCACAAAAATTTACACCGCGAGAATCACCCTCCTTGGCCATCCTGGTTCAAACCTTTTATCCGTCCTGTCACCGAAGTTAAACTCTAGGGGCTGTGACAGCTAAGTCTTGATTGGTGACAGTTTAGGACAAAGATTGGAAACTAAGTTAAATTGCAATGGTTATATTGTTTACTTAGCAACAACACGTCAAAAGTATTTAAATGTCAAGAGAGCTTTTAGCCACACTACATGCGGTAGTGATCCAGAAACGTCACTTCTTTTTTTACAGTAGCACCATTAGATCCATCTTGGATTTCGGATAAGTACTTTATGGTCGAGTGACCTAAACAAAATTAAATACACTTTCTATAATTGAAAATTATTCATTAGAATAGCACTTGATCTTCTGCTAGAGACCCCTATAGAGAAATATTTTTGTTCCAGATGTCATGTTTGGGGCATTCATGGTCTGTCTTGTTAACATGAGTTTACTACTTTCCAGGCATTGAAAAGCAACGCACACATACACACTCTGGGATAAGGTTTTTGACCTGAAAATGAATTAGTTCCTAATAGCTTTATTGGTTATTCCTAAAGTCCACACGCTTGTTGATATATATGTATGGCTAATCTTATAATATAAAATTAAGTAATTTTATTTTAAAAACAGCATATAAAAACAAAATCCAAAACTGAAACACATAACACAGGAACTACTAGGTATAAACACACTCACTACTACCATAATGAAATAAATATGAATGATAAAATATGAATAATTGTTTTTATGTTTAAGAAGTTTCTAAAACACTTATTGAAAGTTCTTCTCAATACATGACGTATCGTAATAATATCTATGTATTTATATCATAACGTATTATATTAGATAAGAACTGGCTATTTTGTAGTTTATGACCTAATCAGCTTTGCCTAGGATCGTATTTCAACTGACCCATAAATACAGAAGGACACGATATTGGCTTTGGTCTAGAAATTCCTTCAATCCCGGGGACCTCCTTTTAAACGGATTTATCGGCTGGTTTTCTCTCTTCTCTCAGTTTCCGCCATCTCCGATAATCTATTGTTATGCCGTCCGACTCTCATTTGCCTAGAAATGCCCGTTTCGAAATTGGACAATGGTGAAAGCGAGCCAGTTGCCGATTAAGTGTCCATAATGGATCTGAATGTGGCCAGATTATACCGGTTCGGTTGTACGACTTGCAGGTCAAATAATGAACATCTGAAAAAAATCATAAACTCAGGTATAACTTTGCAAAAAAATAAATGTAGGTTAAATAAAAATAATTATTGAGTAGTGTGATTTCTCTTAATTAAAAAGTACTATAAGTAAGTACTTTAACATGTACTATTTACTACTACTATATACTACTATTTATTACTAAATACAGTTTTTTTCAGTTTATAATTCTAACTTTTATTACTGAGATTAATATTTCTTTAGAATTTAAGAAATATGCAGTTACCTTTATTTGTAGGATAACTAGAAGGAGGAGTTCCACTCTACTAAACATACCTCGTAAATATTTTTTACGTGAACATTGTAAATAGATATTTATATTTGTTAATCGTTTAAACCATTAGTAACAATAGAGAAGATCAGACAAATGTACATATTTATGGAAAGGTAGGTAGAAAAGTAGAATAACCTTTTGGGGGTTGAATAAAAATTTTAAAAATGTGTAGAGATTAGTGACCGTTAATCGATAGTTATTCAGATATCGTGAGATGCGGTCGGGTGTGATGTAGGTTTCAGAATTTAATGTAATTGTTAAATGTAAACATTGTTTGTAAATCCCAGGCCCTGAAGATGATCTCAATAAAAGATCGAAACGTTGGCACGATAAAGAAAATGTTTTTCTGAAACCTACATCACACCCGACCGCATCTCACGATATCTGAATAACGAATTTTAAAAATCTTTCCTCCAATGCGACTTATGTAGATCGATTATTGAAACCCTACAAAATATACCCATAGCATGGATAGACACTTTTTCCTGTTATCTTAAGCACTTTCCGCGATGCCTCTTCGCGTACCTAATTTGTTGTTAGAACTGACTTAATGATGTGGCTATACCGTAACCGGGCTAACGCTTATCATTCAGAAAAGTATGTGTCAATGTCTATGGTTCCTTCCAACAGAGTCACCATTTTTTTACCCTGCTTTGCCCATTATCTTTAGTTAGAGGGCAATGGCCTGTGTACAAGCCTAGGTACTTGGCCTCTTACCTGGAGCTTGTGTCCAATTCTTGAGTTCTTCTTTCCCAAACCATTTTTCCAATTCCAACTTAATCACACACTCCTGTGCACCTAGTTATGGTTCTAGTCCATTCGGTGAGAGGGCTGCCCCTTATTTGGCTATTGG